ACATGCTTTGATTAAAGAAAACAGTTTCAGGGCCAGGGAGCTGGCTCAGTGGAATAAGCACTTGCCTGGCAAGCGCAGTGGCCTGAGTTCAATCCCCGGTTCCGCAAAAAATAAAATAAAGAAAACAGTTTCAACCAGTTGTTTTGCCAGTTGGGCTTATAGGGAGTGTGTATAGAGAACAGAACAGGAAGGATAGCTAGGCTGCCTTGCCTCATCAGAGTCGTACTGTGGGTGTGGAGAGAAGTTGTTGCAGTCAAGTCTTGTGGACAAGCTACCTTCATGTGCTCAGGGTCGGGTTCCAGTATTCCTCATCCTTGTTGCCAGTGTCTTCAGCTACAAAAACAGCTTCAAACTGTCACCTTTTGATTAGAACAGGAGTTGATCAGGAAGTCAGGACCCTGTTCCTCAGATGTCACACAGCTACATCCTCCATTGATAGGGTCCAAGTATCTCCAAGGATAGGTGGCTAATTCCAAGGATAGGGTCCAGGTATCTGAGACTAGAGCTTTTGCAGTGTTAAGTACCCAGTTGCTATCCCTGGACTGGGCAGGCTGAAGACAGGCTAGGGGATATTTGACCCCTCATCTGATGACAGAATTCCCAGCATCCGTTTGCCTTATTTCACCCTTCAGTGCTATGTTGACTGAGAAAATTCAATGTGGCATTCCCAAGGTCTGTTGAGCAGGATACAACATAGAGTTGAGCATTTTCTTGTGTTATAGTCATGGATGGTGCACTCTTTAGGGAAATTAGACTCTTTCCCTATGAGTATCAGGCGTTGGAGGTGTACTGGGTTGTGAAGGTGATATTGCTCTGCATGACAATAAAAATCATATGTTGAAGGCTGAAATAGAGCATTTCCAAATGGATTGGTATCATTTATGCAGAACAGCCTGTGCCAGGACCTATTTTTTTCTGGATGTTTTCCTATTGTAGATGGTTGTCTGACTGAATGTACTTTCTTTTTCCTTTGTGGCCATTATGATTTTGACTTCAGTGGGATACACCAGTTGTTCTCCTGTATGCTGGTACCCACTAATGGGCTAGACCTACAATCCAATCAGGTTGGTGAAGTCTAAGCCTCAGGTCCAGTTCCACTTCTGAGAACTTTAGTATATACATTGTCTGGGAAACTGCTCTGGGACATCCTAGTGTCTTTGGGGTCTTGCAAGGTTTTTCTGATATATGTTTCATGGATTATCTGCAGAGAAGTAAAGCTTTCAGCAGAATTAGTCTCACCTTTGGAAGATTTTATGTATTTGTTTATGGACTTTTTTTTTTTTTTTTTTTTCTGTATTTTAGGGAAGGGTCCACAGGGTGTTCAGGGTCTTACTACTAGATCAGACTCATAGTGATTCTCCTGTTTACAGCATCCCATAAGCTGAGATTACAGGCATGCACCACCATGCCCATTCTTAGTCCCATCTCAGTGCACCCGGGGAGTGGGGCCGTCACAGCAGGCCCTGCCATCAGGCTCAGAGATTGAACCTCTATCCCTTGTGCCTGCTTGCAGGCAATTCAATCCACTTAGCTATTTGGCCAGCCTCTGTTTATGGATTTTTTGAGACATTGTATCACTGTGCAGTTTAGATTAGTCTTGGACTCAGTGTGTGGCTTAGGCTGGCCTTAGGCTGGCCTTAAATTTGTGGCGATCCTTCTGCTTCATCCTCCCGAGTGCTAGCTAGGGTTACAGCTATGCATTGCCATGCCTGGCTTCATCCTTGGGAGGTTTGACAAATCTAGTTGAAAGAAAACTGTCCTACTAAAGTTGAGGTGAACAATGGTACTTCCCAGGATGACTTGTGCCTGAAGGTGGTTTGGCGTACTCATTAGTGGTGAGATAGCCTGAGAAATAACTGTAACATTTTAACTTCACTTCCACTTGCATACTTCTGTCACCTCAGCCAGTGAAAAACTGGGGCAAGAAAAACGAGTAACATTTTAGGGCTATTATCAGGGTCTGTCCTGTGTGTTTTACTAAATATAGGAGGAATAAATCTGGGAATAACTATTTGCTACTCTTTGAAAGACAGAACCCAGTAATGCTGATATGAGTTCACATTTAAAAGGTATTGGGGCTGCTTGATTTTAGTGTGCTATGCTGCAGAAAAAGCACACTTTTCCTGGCTGTGTTAAGAACAAGCTCTTTCAGGGGCCAGGGAGATCGCTCAGTGGAATAAGGCGCAAGGTCTTGAATTTGATCCCTGGTACCACCAAAAAAAAACCAAACACTTTCCCTCTGAGATGTTTTAATTTTACTATTCTTGAGTACTTAGTTGGTAAACAAGATGTTGACACAATTGTAGGAAGCTGTGGAATGAGCAAGGATTGAGGGATCTGTTGTATGGGATTCTCCAAGAAGTCATGCTTGGAGAGGAAAAGAACCAAGGATTTTCTTGTTTTTCTTTGTTGCTGACAGTTCTGATATAATGCGGTGATGAGGGTGATTTTCAAAATTTTGCTGCTCATTGGTAAATCCTACCATTCTAGAGCTATTTGTGTGAATATGGTTTTAGAGATACATTTCCAGAAATTCGAGGTCAAAGGAAATGTACATGTAAATTCAGATGGATGATGCCAACTTGCTTTCTAAAATGGTTTTACCATTTTACATATTGAGCACTTTTTAATATTGAAACTGATAGAAAAACATGCAAATCATTTTTCTGTCTTCTCATTTTCTAAAATCAAACTTTCCACTAGGGGGTGATGTTTAGCTGCCAGAAAAAAATACAGTAATCTGAACAATGCAACTCTCACTTAATAATGTTGTAAATATTTATTATTAAATAATAAAATCTTACTAATGCTACACTATTTGAACCAAAGTATCTCAAGTCATATTAATAGAATGTTAGAGTCAAAAGTGACCTGAAAGTTTTTGTTGTTGTTTTTGAGACAGGATTTCACTATGCAGTTTGAGGGGGCCTTGATATTGTTTTATAGCCCAGGCTGACCTCAAAACTCTCTGTGTTCCTCAAGCCTCTGCTTCTAAGTACTGAGATTATTGGCATGTGTCACCATGTGTGGTTGAAACGTTTATTTTATAGGGAAACCTATGCAGAGTATGAATGATAACCTGTGTTGGCACAGCTGTTGTTTTAAAGGTGGCTGGAACATTGAGCTCTCTCCCTGAATGGTACCGTCCGGTGTTGTCAGCACCAAGCATGTGAGGGGTTGCAAGCGATCAGAATTAGTATTTGTAATATCAGCCTTACACAGTCTGTGAAGCACAGTGAGGCAGACAAGTAGAAGTGTATGAAAATGTTGGCAGATGAAGTATGATTGTGTAACTTTTTTCCCTGAAGCCCAGAAAAATGAACAAAATGACTGAAAAAATAGAGACTTTTTTTAAATGAAGAGAATGCAATTTCTTTGATGCTTATCATAAGTACCAAAGAAATCTGTTTGCTACAATAGTTGAACCAGAACACCGAAACTCAATACAGGATGCTTCATGAAGATGTAAATTTTACAGAGTTAGTAAGACCTTGTTCTCGAAGAGCTCTATCCATAATCCTTAAGTGGTGGAGAAGAAAGACAACTGAGGGCTGTAAGACTAGGCTCAAATTTGGGCTCCTCCTGCCTCAACCTCCTAGAGTACTAGGATTTACAAACCTAGTGTCACCACATTTAGCTTATGTTCAGAAATCTTTTTTTTCCTTTGTATATGTATTTTTTTTTTAATTTTAAAGATAATTTTAAAAAGATACAGAATTTCAAAACAAGATCATAGGAAATTAACAATGATTATTATATTTCATATTAATATCTTAAAAGTAGTTATTTAGGTTACAGATGTAGGCATGCACAATTGATCACTAAGATATTGTTCCTTTCAATTAACCAGTGGAAATTACTAGTAAATTAACTTAGCTATCATATCTGTATAATATATATTATATATATATAATATATATACACACACACGAATATCTTTTTTCATAAATCATTTTCTTCATTTCTTATTACTTTTGTTTAGATTCTTGGCAAATTGCTGGGACAGAAAAGCTGAATATTTGATGAATATTCTTTGTCAAAATAATTTGTAGAAGGGTTCTATCAATTTGATTTTAGCATATATAAGAGTTGTAATTTTTCCTGGTGAAGGGGTGGAAATGATGGAACCCAGGGGCTCTTTACCAGTGAGCTGTACATCCATACCTCTTTTTAAAGTTTTTGGAGACAAGGTAATAGTGAGTTGCACAGGTTGGCCCTAAATTTGTTATCTTCCTGTCTCAACCTCCTGAGTATGTACTACCACACCTGGTACCAACAATGACATTTTAAGATCTTTGCTCAGAGATATAAATGTCACTTAATTGTTTTAATTTACATTTATCTTACTATTATTGAGCAGAACTTTTTTATAGGTAAATTACTGTTTTTTACTTCTAAATATTTTAGTTCACATCCTGTGCCTTTTTCTTTTCAGTTTTCTTTGTCATGTTTGTGAATTTTTTTTTTTTTTTTTTGCAGAACCAGGGATTGAACTCACACCCTTGCGCTTGCCAGGGAAGCGCTATTCCACTGAGCCATCTCCCCGGCCCCATGTTTGTGAATTTTTATATAATAGTTTGGGCTAATTTTTTTTGTGATTTGCTTAGACTGTTTCTCTTGATGTAGTCATCAGTGAAATTACTTTGCCTTTTAGTGTTTTATGACTTCAGTATTTAATATTTTTGGAGTTTATTTTGGGTGTTAGTGTAGAGTAAGGAGCTTGTCTGATTCTTTTAGGAAAAAAATGCTTTCAATATTCTTTCTTTCTTTCTTTTCTTTTTTTTTTTTGTGGTACCAGGGATCGAACTCAGGACCTTGTGCTTGCCAGACAAGCACTTATTCCGCTGAGCTGTCTCCCTGGTCCCCTCAACATTATTTCTTGACTTTTTATTTTATGATATTTCATTTTTTATAACTTAAAAGTATTTTTGGCATTTTAAAAGTTGCTTTACTATAATACATAAATTGTTTTAACCTTTATTTTAGAATAAGGAGAAATTATCTTCTGTCATTACTGACCTTGCCATAATAATGGAGCCCTCAGAATACTCAGAACTAAGTGACTTTGTGTCTAGGTAAGTCATTTTACAAATTTATTGTTCTAGGGAACATTTTCACTCTACGTTTTTATGTTTACCATTTTTTTTCCTTAATTGGTGTGTCTTCTCCGAAATCATAGAATAATTACTGTGGCTCATAATTAAACATATATTTTCTTAGTATGATTTATTTATTTTTATATTTTACGACAGGGTCTACAGAGTCTACAGGGTCTCATTGTGCAGATTGGACTCGTAGTGATCCTCCTGTTTACAGCCTCCCATGTGCTGGGATTACAGGCACATGCACTGTAATTTAGATGTGTGCTGGGCATCCAAATTAAAATGTGAGATAAACAGATACCGTAGTCAATTCTCATGGAATTTATAGTCTATTGGAGGAATCAGATAGAAATTAAATACTTATAGAAATATATGTGAAATTGTGACTGGGTGACATGCTAGAGTTACTGTTGACACATATATTGGGAATCTAATTGTTAAGGAATGGTTTCTGAAAAATGAATTAAGTAGAACTAACCAGAAGACCTTAGACACAGGGATAGGAAGAAAACCAGTACTCTGGTGTCACACAGAGCTCACAGGGCTTTCTGTCAACACCATGCTGAACAAGTAGCATCTGCTATTTGGAAATTACACAGGAAGAAGAGTAGGGTATCTGTCCCCCTAAACTAGTGGGCATTTCATTATTAACTTAGTAGACATTTGCTCTCAGGCTCTTGGGTAATCTTTCTAGACTGTTCTTTTGTTGTGGGGAGTCACTAATATTTTAGAAAGGGAGGTGAGCGTAGGTCAGAAGACCTGCATTTTATTTTATTTTATTTTATTACATTTATTTATTTTTTCCCAGCCCCCAGGACCTGCATTTTAGTCCAAACTTTAAGTTGCCACCGCTGCCGCCACCTCCTCTTCTTTTTTTCTTCCTCCTCTTCCTCCTTTTCTTTTTAAATTTCTTTCCTCTTTGTTTCTGCTATTATGCAATTTAAATACATTATTCCTAAGTGTGAACTTTTATTTTTCCTTTGCACATCTATGGTTTTTCAAGTTGAAAATTGGTACCTATAATTTTTGGAAGTTTCTTAAGACTTTCTCTGCCCTTACTATCCTTTTACACTCAAGGCTAACCATTGCACTTAGAAGGACCAGTGTGCTTTCTATTTCTCTCTCAACCGTTTTATACTGTTGTCATACAGATTACTTTCAACAGACGATGAATGTCTCAGTGCATTGTTATTTTTGCTCCAGCCAATTTTTTTTTTCTTTTTTTTTTTCTGGCAGAACCAGGGATTGAACTCAGGCCCTTGTGCTTGCCAGGGAAGCACTATTCCACTGAGCCATCTCCCCGTCCCCCAGCCAATTATTTTTAAAGCATGTACAAATAAAATTTGTGTATTCTTTTTTTTTTTAACCACTTCCAATATTGTTCATTGATTCATGTTAATTCATATTTCTAAGAGGTATATATTCATTTTTTTCTGAAGGACTTCCTTTTTATTGTGCTAGTCTCTTATAATGAATCCTGTGATCTTATGTTTCTCTGAGAAGTCTTCCTTTGTCTTCACTTTTTGAAAGATGTATTTGCTGGCAGTAGACTTCTTTTTTTTTTTTTTATAAAAATTTTATTTATGTGTGTGTGTGTGTGTATGTGTGTGTGTGTGGCCAGCTCAGCCCACCAGGGGGCGGCTGGCTGGCATGTGGTGCTGGGGGATCGAACTGTGGTCCCTGGGTTTTGCTAAAGCTTGTTCTAAGTAGGTGCTTTAGACCACTGAGCCATCTCACCAGCCCTGGCAGTAGACTTCTTGTTGACAGCTTTTCTTTCAGATCTTTGAAAGATTACTTTTCACTCTGGAATGGTAATTGTACATTGTAATTCCAGTACTGTGAGAGGCTGAGGCATGAGACTGCAAGTGCCAGCATATTTTGGGCTATTTAGTCATTTATCAAGACCCTGTCTCAAAGAAAAAAAATTAAAAATATATGCCAAGAATGTAGCTCAGTGTAAAGGCCCTAAGTTCAAGCCCTAGTGAAAAAGAAAGATAGAAAGAACTTTTATTATTTTCTGGGTTGTGTTATTTGTGACAAAATGTCTCCTATAATTATCTGTGTTTCTCTGTATTAATGTATTGTATGGTATATGTATATTTGGGGACTACCTTCAGATCTTTCTTCTAATTTTTTTAAACCACAATTTGATTGTTTCATGTCTAAAGTATATATGTAAAATTTTTTCCAAATATGTGTTTTCAAATGTTAATCGTGCTCTGTTCTCTATTCTTCTGTAACTCTTTACTGATTTGCATATGTTAGCTCACAGTGTTTCATTTTTATTTTTTTTTAGTGCAGTGCTATTGTATCTATCTGTCAAAATTTACACAGCTTTTAAGAACTGCCAAAATCTAGCTAAGCTTTGTTACACATGCCCGTAATCTCACCACTTAGGAGGCTGAGTCAGGAGGATCACAAGTCACGCCCAGCCAGGACAACCTAGAGAGACTTTGCTTCAACTAACAAAGAAAGCTAATCAGACAAAAAGAATATGTGAAAATTTGATCTGATTTCTAGTTACCTCTATCAAGCGAAGATGATCTTATGTATCCCGTGTCTTCTTTGAGGGTAAAATGTTTAATTAACTTGATTGACTTGGGACTTCAGATTTTTGATGGGCTCAGCAAAGGTTGTGATTTTCGAGATGAATCAAAGAACTAAATGTTAAATCAGAATAATCTGCTGGAGGACAAGATGGGTAAAACTCTTAAAGTCATAGGTGTAAGTAAAGACTTTTGTAACAGAACCCTAGTTGTTCAGAAAATAGTTCCAAGAATCAACAGTTGGGATCATGTTAAGTTGAAAAACTTTGCACAACAGAAGAAACAGGCCAGGGAGATAGCTCAGTGGAATAAGGGCTTGCCTAGCAAGTGCAAGGTCCTGAGTTTGATCCCTGGTACCACCAAAAGGAAAGAAAAAAAAAGAAACAACTGAGTGAAAAGATAACATATTGAGTGGGAAAAAGTTTTGCAAGCAATTCCTCAAATGGAAGACTCATCTAAAATATGTAAAGAACTCAAAAAATTTAGACTTCCAAAATAAAAACCCAATCAAAAAATTGACAGGCAGAATGAATTGAAAATTCACAGACGAAATATCAGATGGCTAGTAAATACATGAAGAAATGTTCAGTTCCTTTGGCCATGAGAGAAATACAAATTAAAATAGTACTGAAATTCTACCTTGCTCCACAAAGAATGGCTATCATCAAGAATCAAATCATTGGAACTGCTAGAAAGACTATTGGGAATGAAGAACTCTTCTACACTATTGGTAGGAATGTAAACTAATGTACTCTATGGAAATCAGTATGGAAATTTCTCAAAAAAACTAAAACCTTTGTTTTTAGAAACAAAGAGCTAGAACTAGAAACTTGACCGCGCTAGTCCCTTTCTACATATCTTCCCCGAGGGGTTAAAGACATATTACAGTGATACATGTATATCCATATTTGTACAGCAGCAGCACAATATATAATAGCTAAACCTTGGAAGCAGCCTAATGTTCAGCAGATGAATGAATAAAGAAAATGTGGTATTTACACAGAATAGAATACTATTTGGCTATAGAGAAGAATAGGCAGGTCACTTGTAGGTAAATGAATGCACCTTAATGTGAAGTGAACTAAATCAGGCAAGCTTAAATCTTACATTATTTCTCTTGTATGAGAAACTCAGGGTAAAAATAAAGAACAAAATATAAGATAATAGGGAGATAGAGTATTCTTAAAGGGGAAAAGAATCAAAATGGGAAGAGTGGGACAGGAATAAGGCATAAAAAAAGGAATCAGGATGTGATATATATGCACTAACTCCACATGAGGAATCTAAACAGTATGTACTGCAAACATGAATGAAATAAAGGAAGGGGTCAAAGGATAGTTGGAGGAGGGAAGGAAGAAGGGAAAACAGATGGAAAAACAATTAAGATATGTTATATACACATACCAGTTTCCCACAAGGAATGTAAACATCATGTACTACA